TAAATCCAGTTATACATGCTAGTAAATAATGTAATCAACTCAACATGTTCCACCCAATATTTAAAAGGTTATCTTTTTTACAGGCCTTAAATAAATTGCAGACTGTGTTTGAATAAACACTTGGCTCAAATGAACTTGCTAGTGGCCTAGTGCCATATTCCTTTTGCAGTCAACTTTCAGAGTCAGTTTCCATTTATCTCTTCAGTTGAAGTAGATTTTTCGAAAAAGGAATAGATAAGGTAGGTTACCCATTAGGAGGAGGTTCACATTCATGCTGCTTTTGAGAGAGGCAGAGCCTAATGTGCTCTGATTGTTTGAAATGACGTTCACAAACTTAATAATGTTATTCTTAGTATCTCTTAGTGCCTTAGATACCACATTCTTGTGCTGAAGAATGTGAAAGAAATGATTATTCGGTTATGCATTTTTTAATAATATTTTGCAAAGATCTTGCATACACAATATTGACATTAAAAGTGAAAGATACAACATGCCGAAAGAAAAATCAAAACAATAAGATCTGTGAAAAAAAGATTTTTTAATAAAAGATATTTGGTTTCACAAGAAGGTGAAGTTTACTCAGCTAATTGGAATTTCAGACGTAGTTCTTTCTTATGTCTAGTATAATTAATGTATGTTTATATCTCCATTCCTGGATTAATATTCTGTTCCTCATATAGCAGAGAGGTAAAATAGAAAGGAAAGAAAAAGAAATTGACTGATTTTCCTTGATTCTTATCATATACAGAATGTGGAGGGAAATTAGACTCCTTGCTGCGTCAAAGCCTGTCATTGCATCGATGGCTGATGTGGCGGCTAGTGGAGGATACTATATGGCAATGGCTGCAGGGGTTATAGTTGCAGAGGATCTTACATTAACAGGATCAATTGGTGTTGTGACAGGTGAACCTAGCAATTCACATTCTTATGGTTTCTTTGATATTGTTAAGACACTTTAGCATGCCACTATTTACAATTTTTCTTTTCATTTCTCTTAATTTTAGAATTCACCTAATCAAAATGGATGATATCTCAAGGAAAAACATTTATTCCAAAAGGTTTTAACATTAGAACCAGAAGTCAATCGTTAATCAATAACAATTAATAGGATGGATGCCTTTAGTTGATATTCAGCCATTCCTAAAAGGGTGATATTTTTTTGTTGACATCTGTTCAGAGAACATAAAATGTTTCCAACAAACTGATACTTGATCAAACCTTGTCTTGTTCTTTAATTGCCCTTGTTTATTGATGACAGAATGAGCAGCTGACCGAGAGACTTGCCTCCAAATTTTATGCCTAGTCAACATGGCAGATAAATTTATAATAACTGTTTGGAGGCCTTTGATTATAGTTATGAATACAGTCAATGCTGCAGATCTAGTTATGTTCTATTTAATGCATCATCACATGGCCATCATTCTTCCCATATCTTCACAAAATAATCAGAAAAGAGATCTTCACAATTTTATATGTAGCAGTAGTTACTAGTGTGCTTAAGTTGTGAGAGACATTGTGTGGGCTAATTTTTCTTTCGATGAAGGAAGCCTATTTAGGTGATCTAGATTGTAGCTATTGATGTTTTGATATTTGTGCTTGTATAGGGAAGTTTAATTTAGGAAAACTATATGAAAAGATTGGCTTCAATAAAGAGATCTTATCAAGAGGAAGATTTGCAGAGCTTACTGTAGCTAAACATCGACCATTCAGGTAAGATGCCCGATTGAATTGCTGAGGATACAGATGCTTGTATTTTTTGGAAACAAAAAAGGGAAGCATCGACTTGATGCAACGATCCCATATCTTCATCAAAATTTGACAATAAAATTTTGTATTGTGGGTTTATTTTTGCTATTATTTATGCCTTCACAGTGATGCCTTCAAGGTCAATTCAATCCCCTAATTTCTCGACTGTATTTTCCTGTTAGGCTTTTGTTTTAGGGCCTGTTTGGTGCTGCTTCTTGTAAAATGAAAACTTATAATCACAAAGCAAAAATGCTAAAAACACCTCTTCCCCTCCTTCCCAATTATCAGCTCTTTTTAGCTTATTTTCAGCTATTTTTGCCTCAAAAGCTGTAAGCAGAAGCAGCCAAACCAACACACTGGCACAAATTTTCAAAATAAAAAAAGCTATATAGCAGCTCCATAAGTTGCACTGTGATTTGTGAATAATAATCAAATTTGTCTTGTAGCCCTGATGAAGTAGAACTCTTTGCCAAGTCTGCTCAGAATGCATACAAACAGTTTAGAGACAAGGCGGCATATTCAAGATCAATGACTGTACGGTAGTCAATTAACGTATACTAATGGAGTGCAGTACTTTTTCAATCGCTTCATCACTGTCCAATCATTATGTTGCAAGCAGATAAGATGGAGGAGGTGGCACAGGGGAGAGTGTGGACTGGTAAAGAAGCAGTTTCACGAGGTTTAGTTGATGTTATTGGTGGGTTTTCTCATGATGTTGCTATAGCAAAGCAGAAGGCTAATATACCCCTGGTTAGAGAGGTTGGTTAAAAAACTCCTTTTAGTTTACCCTTTTACAGGTTTTAATAAAAATGGGTGTTTTCGTGAAATATTGAGTTCATTCTGTAGTCTAGTGGTAATTTGTAATGTCACACTTACCCTAAAGAGAATATCACAACATTCCTTTACATTTTGATCTCTATTCCCGGAAATTCTTTATGGACTAATGGACCCAGTGTACACATGATATGCTTACATGTATAACATTGAAGTTAATAGTTTGTCAATTCAATTCTTTTACATGTATAACGTTGAAGTTGCTTATGTGTCGATTCAATTTCTTTTACGTCTATTGAGGCTTGATTCTAATAGGTATCCTGAATGTTAAGGTTACTCTTGTTGAGCTATCAAGACCGTCGCCAACCCTGCCGGAAATCTTAGTTGGCATTGGTAACACTGTGGTTGGGGTGGATAGGACATTGCAAGAATTACTGCAAGACTTGGCATCTTCTGATGAAATTCAAGCCCGGATGGATGGAGTCATGTTTTAGAAACTGGATGGTGTTTTGAATTCCAGTCCTCTCTTCACTTTGATTAAAGACTACTTGAGTTCCCTCTGACCTCTTATATCTGTCTATCCATCGTCTAAATTTTATTTATTTTTTTTTTTTGGTAAAAATGTAGAAGAGATGAGCCACTTGTCTGCTTACTGTAAATGTTACTATAATTTTGCCCTTTATTTCTCCTTTTTCATTATCACTTTTTGTGAGAGAGCTATATGTTATTTGTTTATTGTTAATCTGTAGTAGATTATTTACAAATATCAAACTATACTAAACTCGGCAATAATTTAGCACCACAGACCTCCCATCAAACACCAATAAAAGAAAAATTACTCTAAAATAGGAAGAAATAAATTAGGAAAGAGTTTCATTTAATATTACTTAATGTGTTTAACACTAAGTGATAAATTGAATTAATCCTAGTTGGTTAGCAAAACATTTTAAGCTGAGGGTGGTTATATATTACTTTTTTTTTTTTTTTCAATTTTTTTTTATTAATGGACGCAGTTTAATCTTTCAATCTAACTCTAGTAATAGATGCAGTTTAAACATTTGGTGATTAAATTGTAATTTTATTTTATTTTTTTGGTATTGAGAATCGAATTAACAAAATTTAAATATTGGTGAACAAATTGAAATATTTTTATACATTGGATTGGGGATAGAATTGACATAATTTAAACATTAAAGACCAAAATGATATAAAGCGCATAAAATTATGATACCTACTACAAAGATCTTTCATAAAATATTCTACTTGAATAATATAGAAAGTGGGAAAAAAATAAAACTTTAAAGTCCAAAGTGAAAAAGTGGACAAACTTAAAGGAGGCAAAGTATAATTTACTCATATAGAAAACTCTCATTAAAAATCTTATTAAAAGTACAAAAAATTAAATAGATTTGATTGTAAAAAATATAGTAACACTTGGACATCTAATGATATTTGAACGTGTATATTTCATTAAGAGTTTTAGTTGTCGTTATTCTTTTTCTTAAATTTTTTATCCTTCACTTTCTCAATCCACCTATAATAGTTTATTCTTCTATAATTTTATAAAATTCTACCTCAAGGTTCACCCAATTATTGATTCAAATCAAAGTTTGACAGAAAAAAAACTTACTACACGAGCAAATCATTGAACCATTACAACATCGACGTGAGAACAACACAAAAGTACAAACAACCTCATGCTTATTCAAATTTTAATTGAAATATAAAATACACTAAACCCTTCAAATTTTAATTGAAATATTACACACACTAAACCCTAGCCATTTTTCCTTACTAGAGTATTTTTTCCAAAGTAAGGTGGATTTTACCCTTTGTAATTTGATCTATGTGTGATTATCCTCTATGGTTTGTGGATTGAACAGTGAAATACGTCTTCTGATATAAGGGAATTACATGCTCATTTATCAGGACGTAAATTACACATGGGGCAAAACATAATTCTCTACAATGATGAAAATATAAGTGATTTGCGCAATGAGACTATTCAATATCATTATTTACAATGGATACTATCTGATGCTCATGAAAAAAAACTTCAAGATGAAACCTGAGCTTAGAATACTTCACTGCACATGACATGCTCTTTGGTAAAGGAGTGAACTAGGTAGCTGCTTTCCTTGTTCCTCAATTTTTGTATCATCCTTACAAACTACATAAAGTGCAGTGTTGTCATCCACAAACACCAATGGAAGATTTTCAACAACAATTTCTGAAGTAGGTAGCCTTCCCACCAAGGCATTTTCATTCTCTGCAAATTGCTCAAACAAAACCTTCTCGTACTCTGCTGTGAGAGTGTCAAGTATGCATATCTAACAGATCTGGATAAAATTGCGTGTTTTTTTTTTTTTTTTTTCACGGGGGGGGGGGGTTGGGTTCTCATTCATGCTTGAACAGACCAGTTGGTGCATGCGAGGACTGCTGTTGTAGGGAATCAAATAGCAATGCAGAATGCTGTGGTAGCAAAGAAGATAGCAAGTCACTATAAAGCTTGGTCTGTGACAGGTAACTCACTACAAAGAGGGAGGGAAAGGCTAGTGAGAATGCAAGGGGAAAAAAAAAATTGGAGGAAGTTAGAGTAGTCAGGTTTGAATAAATTGGATGGCTATTTTGACAGATGAAGTTAAGCAAAATGCTATCATTTGCTTAGGCCAATTAAGATGATGTTGAGCAACGACCAAAGAAATTGGTTGACACTGCTGCTCCATCACTGCAGTCTTTAGGGTTTACGCAGCAGAAGGTGTAGTGAAAGCTAGGGAAGAATATTTGAGACAGAGCAGCCGAAAAAGAAAATTGAAGAGTAGAAAAATTACCTGGTGCTTCTGGGACTCCGAAATGGTGTTCTGGATCTGGAGTAGCTTATGGACAGCTCTCCAGTATGTAGAGGTCACTTGTGCAACTGGGGAGTGCTCCACATTATTCTTGAGTAACTACTTCAGGGAAACTTCAACTTTTGTTACTTTAGGAACAAAACAGAATGTAACGAAACAGGACAACATCAACGGCATAAAATAAACTTCAATGTCACAGCTGAATTTCATTAGAACATCCATAATCAACGTCTTGGTTCGTCAAACCTTGTTCCCTCTAAGAAGATGATTTATTCATGAGCCGTTTCACTACCTTGGCAGCTCTTAATTGTTCGGGAATCACATTTCTACCATAGAAAAGAAATTTTTAATTAACAAAGTTAAAATCCCTCATCTTGTTGGACAATACAGGTTTGTTGGAAAGACTTGGATGTGAAACAAAAGTAAGAGGATGTCAACTTTGGGTACAAATCAATTAAGCCAAAGAGTTGTTTGGTCCAGAAAATCCCTATTCATAAGTCCAAGATAAACATCCCTTGTACAGTAATATGATTATACAAGTATATTTCAAATTACCAAGTTGTCATGCAAAATGAAATGTTCCATTCTTCACCCCTAACTGTTGATGTTAATATAAAAAATACCCAAGGTACATATCAGCGGTTCACCCCTAACTGTTAATGTTAATATAAAAAATACCCAAGCTACATAATTGCAGCTGATCAGAGGATGACTGGATCTTCACTAGCAAACAATTTCCTTTAGCCATCACTACGCCTTAATTAGTTGAAGAATTTATGTTAGAAAAGCCAACTAACCTCACATTGCCTACAACAGAAAACATTATTGTCAAGTAAGATTGATGATCCACCATTTAACCAATAGAAAAATGCATTGCCACAGTCCAACCATCCTCAAGCTGATTCAAAATAAAAATTAGCATCTGCTTGCTTTAGCTGGTTAGAATTCTCTATGTTGAAAGTAACAAATTTTCCAATAATCTTAATTGTTCATATCAGCAATGAAACTGATATAGAACCCAGCAGAGTTACACTAAAAACAAGGCTTTTAAACAAGTTAAATAGAATATTATCGTCATGTAAGATTGATGATCCACCATTTTTTTTCCTTTGTTTTCTTTCTAGCTTTCTTTCTTTTCTTTCATTTCTTTTTTCTTTTTATTTTTATGGGAGATGATCCACCATTTAACCAGTACAAAAATGCATTGCCACAGCGCAACCATCCTCAAGCTGACTTGAAATAAAAATTAGCATCTGCTAGCTTCAGCAGCTTAGAACTCTCTAAATTGAGAGTAACAGATTTTCCAGTAATCTTAATTGTTCATATCAACGATGAAACTGACATAGAATCCAACAGAGTTACACTAAAAACAAGGCTTTGTAACAAGTTAAATAGCACACAAAGCAGTAAAATCGATGGTAATAAGCCTCTAAACAAGAAAAATGAAGTCCCTAGCTATTGGCATATCAACATATAGTAATTGAATCTGAACTGGAATATTTTGTTCATCATATTAGTATAAAAGTTGAAGGATCTACCTTCTTTTTTTTTTTTTTGGTAAGTTCAAGGATCTGCCATTGACTGTTTCATTCATCAACATCCTGCAACTGGAAATTTGAACTCATTTATATAATAAGTGGATAATGTATAGATAAAATCACTCACATGCTAATTAGGATGTGAGAACTGTCTGAGTAGATATTACAACTTCACTGCCATGCAAGCATTCTATGAAGAAAGTCAAATTCTGTGAGTTTATTGAAATATGCAGTCATCAATATTGAGCAAATGTTAAGGATGTAAAATGACACAGAAGAACTAATAGGAGTCACTGAGAATGATCAATACCTTTTAAGTGTTTGGCACTTCATATTATTTGCTTATGCTAGTCAATCAAGTATAATTATCCAGTGAAGTTGGTTGTTCTATTCCAGTAATAGCATCAAAGATCATTGCGACCGGCCAAGCACTCATCACTTATCAAGCTTTTAACATAATTAGACAACCGAGCTCTGATCTTGTTGGCCTCCTTATTTTCTAGCAATGCTCCCTGCTCTAAGAATGAGATAATGCATTGTGCCCATGGAATATGCTCGTTCTGGAGTAAGTGGACCTTTTATTGATCTTGTGGAATTGTTGGGTGCGTTAGGTATCCGATTCTAACTCTGTGACTGAGGTCTGATTGGTCTGCCGAGGCTAACTGGGCCATTTCATCTTCTTGGGAGTTCTCTGATCGTGGGATATGCTTGATGTGGAAATTGTTGAAGAGGCGGGTGAGGGGAAGATCGATGTCTCTGTATGATCACATTTTTTCCTCCTTTGCATCGAACTCCTGAGTTATCTGCCCGACAACTAATTGGGAATCAATGAAGTTATTTTAGATGTTATCAATGAGAGATGTATCTACAAAGTCATGTGAAAATCCAGATTAGAAGCAATGACAGTACTCATGAACATTTCATATGGCTTAAAGCACAGTTTGTAGAAAAGAGAATAAATAAGCCAGACGATGTGGAGGCAAGTTTGCTGCAAGGTAGAATTTCTCTAATATGACGTAGTCTTGAAAAAACTCACTGATATGAGCATGCGATTTTGTCTCATGGCAAGTTAGTTAAGCACTCAAATTAACTGAAATTCACAGCAATGCCATTTCGAAAGCTCTTCATGTGGCCTATTCTAGAGAATTAACATATTGAGCCTCTTTAACAATTGGATATGACGAATGCTTTACTTTGTGAAGACTTCGAGGAAGAAGTATTTACGGATGTTCCACCTGGCTTTGATGATTTCTCAGTTGATGGGAGTGTGCAAGCTTAAAAAGGCATTATAGGATTTACAAAGTCTGCTAGAGCATGATTTGAGAGGTTTACTTGGGCTATGCTTAGATGTGGCTACAAATAGAGTCAAGATGACCATACCCAATTTATTCAACAGTCACATGAAAACAAGGTTACTGCACTCCTTGTGTATGCTGATGATATTTGATCTATCAAAATGCAAAAGTTGAATAGCTATCTTACTAAGGAGTTTGAGATAAAAGACTTGGGTAACTTAATTGACGTTGCAACATCTCAAAGGGAGTGTTTATCTCACTAAGAACATATGTTTTGGACCTTCTTAAGGACAAAGTGTGCTTGGGTATAAAGCTATTGATACCATGTTGGACCAGAATTGCATGTTAGGGGATGAAACTAAAGATTCATTTGACAGGGAGAGATAGCAGAGGTTGGTTGGTAAGTTAATTTATCCATCTCATACTCACCTAGATATAGATTATGTTGTTAGTTAGCCTTGTGAGCCACTATGCATAATCCTATTGAATTGCATATTAGTTTATAGACTACTCCGGTACTTCAAAAGAAAGAGTTCAATTTTTTATAATATTTGCATAACTTTAATGGCAAATATCAGCATCCAGCCATGCAAACTGAGATTCAAGTAGCTTGGGTTACCAAATGAAAAATGAGATGCTATTCAAATGAAAAAAACACTACGAGATGCATCCATATTTATTATAATTCAGTTAGAAATAGATGATGTTGCACAATGGAAATAATGCTCTACAAATTTACATGAAAACTAAATGCAACCAACACATTGTAAATCAATATAATAAAAAATCACTGTTATGCAAATTTGAAGCATACAAAGTCTGATATTGCTAGTGTAATATGCCAAAAGTACTCTTTCACCTACAAAGTCTGCTAGAGCATGATTTGAGAGGTTTACTTGGGTCATGATTAGATGTGGCTACAAACAGAGTAGAGATGACCATACCCAATTTATTTAACATGAAAACAAGGTTACTGCACTCATTGTGTATGTTGATGATATTTGATCCATAGAAAAGCAGAAGTTGAATAGCTATCTTACTAAGGAGTTTGAGATAAAAGACTTTGGTAACTTGAAATACTTCTTGAGTATTGACGTTGCAACATCTCAAAGAGTGTGTTTATCTCACTAAGAACATATGTTTTGGACCTTCTTAAGGACAAAGTGTGCTTGGGTATAAAGCTATTGATACCATGTTGGACCAGAATTGCATGTTAGGGGATGAAACTAAAGATTCATTTGACGGGGAGAGATATCAGAGGCTGGTTGGTAAGTTAATTTATCCATCTCATACTCACCTAGATATAGATTATGTTGTTAGTTAGCCTTGTGAGCTACTATGTATAATCCCATTGAATTGCATATTAGTTTATAGACTACTCCGGTACTTCAAAAGAAAGAGTTCAATTTTTTACAATATTTGCACAACTTTAATGGCAAATATCAGCATCCAGCCATGCAAACTGAGATTCAAGTAGCTTGGGTTACCAAATCAAAAATGAGATGCTATTCAAATGAAAAAACACTATGAGATGCATCCATATTTATTATAATTCAGTTAGAAATAGATGATGTTGCACAATGGAAGAAATGCTCTACAAATTTACAAGAAAACTAAATGCAACTAACACATTGTAAATCAATATAATCAAAAAGCACTATTATGCAAATTTGAGGCATATATTTGAAACAATTAACTAGTGAATACGAGTTCAAGAAGCATACATACAAATACAAAGCAGAAAACACAAACTTCAAGAACAGGACATGTATTGTGTACCTGTTATTCTATGCTTATTTCCAATCCCTTCAAAGAGCAAAATGTAATGAACTTCAGTACCAAATTATAGAAGTTGCACACGGTTGACATTAAAGATTATCTACGACTAATATTTTAGTTCAAAAAATAAGGAATATTACACCATTCAATATATATATTTGTATGTGAAAACATATCAAAGTCATATCCATAAACAAGTCAAGAAACCATCAACAAGAGATTCTCACTTAGGAAAGGGAAAAGAAATCCTGCAACAAACTGATATTGCTAGAGTAAATTATTTAACTTGTAATTTTCTACTAGTCATGACATTGACAGTGAAAAGTTAAACCACTACAACAACAATACAAGGATCCATCATCAACCACTTTGTCAACAGACATTTCAACAGCGTTTGATGTTTGAACATGAGAAACATTTTAAAGATGTTGGCAAACAAATAAAAGCATTTCTACACATAGTCCAACTGCAGAAACTTCATAGTTTGTTGGGGCTTTTTGTTAATACTTACAAATTGTGATACCAGTACCATGTTCATGTGAAGTACCAAATATATGCTCAAAGATTACCTAGGAAGAAGGAGGAGCTGACCTTCAATAACAGATTCTAACTTCATTTTGAAAAGTGGTGACAACATGTGCAGTGGGATTTGTTCTTTGAATTTTTTCCTCTTTTCTTTTGGGTTTTTTCTTGTTTTGATAGAATTCATTTATTTAATATGCCCCATCACTAAACCAAACCAAATTAAAATTAAGGCTTGTGTCCCATTCAAGTGAGATCGACTACATAAATCTTTTTTCACCGTTCTACTCTATCAATGTTTATATACTTAATTAATTAAACAAATTCACATGGATTACATAATATGCCAAAAGTACTCTTTCACTTGAGCCAACATATTTTGATTCTATAAATCATAGCACCTCCAACCAACCTCATCATGCTTATTAATAATCGAACCTAAATAATGAGAATGTTCACCAAAAATTGCATTAATAATATTGCTTTTGGGATCACATGCACATTTATTGTGAACAATCAATGCAATCTCTTAGTTTCCACAATTTATCATATAGTGAGTTGAAAAGGAAAAGTAAACAAATGAATTTCAGACTCCAGATCTTGAAAATTTTGAAAATTTTACAAATAGCATACTTACTGTGGGAAGTTAAAACTCCCAAATCCTATCCATGCAAGTTTAAGTACTACTAGTCCTGCACTAATAGTGGGCACAAACATATATTATAATATGTGACGTAAAGCAGCTAATAATTAATATCCATAAAAAAAAGCAACCTGAATGACAATCCTGTGCTACAGGATTCGTATTAGTGGTTCACAGTGGTCGAGTGCAATTACAGATGGAAATGGCAAGCAATGAAAGAGCATATATGATCCAGGAAATGAGCTTGAGTCAGAGAGAGAAAGAGACGGTGATGGATTCGATGTCTCCTTCGCTTTCCAATGTTGACCATTACTCCCTCACCCATCATAACCGTTGGCCCCCCTTCTCCAACCACGTCAACCCCAATTCCATCTTTTCCATCGCCCTTTATTTTTGTTTCTGATAAAATCAATCTGTCTACCAAGAACTTGCACTCCACACAGACATGACTTGCACCCCACACCACCCTACACATGGACTTGCACCTCGTCTCCCATTTTTGCACTTTGTCCTCTCTATTTTTCTCTTTCATTCTCTCTGTCTCCTTCACTTTCCAATGTTGATCACTACTTGCCCTCCATAGCCATCACCCACTCCTTCTCTAATCTCCACAACCACTGTCAACCCCTATCCCACCTTTCTATCACCCCTTGTTTTTGTTTCTGATAAAATTAGCCTGCCTAGTAAGGACTTGCACCCTATACAAAGGGGTGGCCAACGACTATGGATGGCAGGGAAGTAGTGGTCGATGTTGGAAAGTGGTGAAGACAATAAGAATAAAAGAGAAATAAGAGAGAAAAAAAGAAAAGAAAAGGTGGAAGACGAGGGGCAAGTCTTGTATGGATGGGTATGTATGGGGAGTCAAGAGCCTCTCCTTGCAAGCTTGTGCTTGCGTCCGTCTTTGCAGGCCTTCGGGTCTACTTTTAGGCTCAATTTTGATAATCCGAATCGTTTATATTTTATGATTTATTCAGTATATCATACCTGTAAAAAATCAAGTTGATCGGATATCAGAAAGTATGTGTTTGAAAAATTGAACTAAACACTATTTTTTAAAGAATTTAATAAACAGTTTTCCGAACATATGCTTTCTGATATCCGATCAACTTGATTTTTTACAGGTATGATATACTGAATAAATCATAAAATATAAACGGTTCGGATTATCAAAATTAGACCTAAAAGTAGATCCGAAGGCCTGCAAGGACGGACGCAAGCACAAACTTGCAAGGAGAGGCTCTTGACTCGTTGAAGAATTAATCTTTTTTTTTTTTTTTATGAGAAAGACAGCGTTGAATAGTCATCGGAGTTGTCACCGGAAAATTGGCTGAAAAAAGTAGCTGGAGATTTGTCAACGACCTGCGGCTTGCTGCAGTAGCTGGTGGTAATGAGTTAAATATATAGACGAATAGCTATGTCATATGTGTACAAATAATTAAATATTTAAACATGTAATTTTATAGATAGGTGATATATAAATAATGAAATATTTAAACAAATAAACATATAAATAAGAATAAATAAGTATCTTTTTGGATAAATAATACCATTTTAATCAAAAAAAAATTAAAATTTGGACCTTTTCACTCAAGAGTTTCAAAATAAATTTATGGCCTAAATGCTGATAAAAATATTACACTTACTACTATTAGTTTTTAGTAATGTTACAATAGGCTTATTGATACAGTTAATATGATTTATTTATAATTTTTCTTATTTGCAGATTTTGTACCAGATTATTTGCAAAATAGTAAAAAAATAGTTTAAATAAATTTTAAAAAATAATTATTTGAAAATTAGAGAATGAGGCCTTGTTTGGTTTAACTCTCAAAACACAATTTTTGAAAAAAAATTTGTTTGGTTGGAAATTTTTTGAAATTTTTTTTTCAAAATCACTTTTTCTCTCCTACACATCAATCGAGTGGTTGTTTTTAGCTTTTCTTTTATATCTTTTAGATTATACAGTAAAGTGTGAGATGAGATGAGAAAAGAAATTATCGTGGTTTCTCACTTGAATAAGAAAGTAAATGAAATGGTTATAATTTCTCACCATTATGTTTGGATGAAAAAAAGAGATACGAATGTGGTTTCTCACATATCTTGTTTGGATAAAATAAATAAGAGAAAAGAAAGGAAAGTATTGTGTTTCAATTTATCAAAATAGACTTCTATATTAATAAGTTATATATTTTCATAAAGGTAATTTTGGTATTTTAAAAAACTTTCATTAAACCCAATTCCTTTCTCACTAAATCTTATCACTTTTGGTGAGAAACAAAATATAAGTTTGGTGATAATCATTTTCTCACCATCTTTCTCACCATTTCTCATCTAGTTAACAATCGAAATAAGTGAAGGAGTTCTATTCTCACAATTTCTTTTCTTTTTTCACCAAATCCCTCCATCAAATCGATGTGTAAGCTTAAGTTCAAATTTGAACTTGAGAGAATTTGAAGGGCTCATGGAACCAATCACAAGTTCCGTTTCAATGATTCCAAACATTCATTTTTTAAGATTCATCGTATATATCATCCATGAAAAAAGTTAAATCGATCTGATAATTGTAAATTTTTCATTTTATTGTACTTGTCTCCAAAAAATTAGATGGTTTAATTCTAAAAACATATTTATCGTTCATATTTTTAGAGACAAATACTATAAAATAAAAATGTTATGATTATTAAATCGACCTAATTTTTTTCTATGGATGATATACACTGGGGCCCTAAAAAAATAAACAGTTTGAATTATCGAAATAAAACTCATGTTTAAAATAAAAAATAAAAAATAAAAATAAAAATGAGGTGTCAGTTTTAGGATATATGGTGAGGATGTAAATTACCACATGACATTTTATAGCCATGTTGTCTGAATATGCGAAAGTGTAGTGCAATGGTGAACAAATCAAAGTCCTCATTGTCCTCAAACTTAGCAAACAATTGCCCCAATTGCTCTTCAATCTCTTTCTCGAAGTGATACGACACACCAAGGCGTTCGAGCACGCTGATCAAATTCATTTGTTCTGCTGCTTTACGTCCACCGGCTACTACCATGCTCCTCACTTGTTCTTTCAACACTTCAATCTCATTACCATACTTGTCCCATAGCTGCCCCCAACAACCCACCACATTCATTAATTACAACAACTTCACAATAAAATTTTGTTAATGTTGTGTTTAGTTCAAAGAATTGGATAGGAATTTGGACAAGGAAAGAGAAAAAATGTATAAATGGTGTGTGAAATGTTATTATATTTTATTTATATTTCACTCATTTTTTTTTTCAATTTTCAAATCTCTCACCAAATCTATAAATCAATTACAATCTAAGAGAAATTTATTTATCAAGAAAAAGTGTATAGAATTTTAACCTATAATGTAATAAAGTAGATATATATAAACATCACATAAGGTATAACCAAAAATCTTTTTAATCATAATCAAAATAATTGTTAAAATATGTTAGTGCATTATATTGTTAGTGTATTCTATGTTGTTATTAGCTGTAAAGTGTGTCCTAGCTGATCATGATGTCTTTGCTTTCGGTCCAACCTCTGTACACTCTTCTATAAAGAAGAGTAAGTTTCTCCTTATGTAATACACAACAACAAGATATCAATCAATACAATTCAATACAATACAGTTCTTTCTCTTTCTTTATACATAAAACTAATATGGTATCAGAGCTATAGGTTAGCTCTAGGTGATCTTCACCTTCCGGCGGGCGGCAACCTTGCCTTCACCGCCCGCCGGACCCCAACCGTGCCAATTGAAACCTCCAACACATACCTCCTCTCCTTTCACCTTGGTCTCTGCAACCTCACTCTGTAAAATCATCACCTTCCCTCTCGAGTGCGCTCACCGACACCAGCAAACACAGAGAAACCACCGTGAGCTTTGGCAACATCGTTAATAAGTTCCATAATAAGAACCGTCAGGATCGGCGGCAACCCCTCGTCATATCTCACATCGACGACGGCTCCGATGACCTGGCAGACCTTCCCGATGGAGCCAGCACCGGTGAACTCGTCGGTGATCTTTCCGCTGGGGCCGCGGGCATGACCTTCTTCCTAAGATCTGGCTTCCCCTTCTTCACGGTGGTCATCACCCTGTCTCCAACGCAGGCCGAAGGCAACCGATTCAGCCTCTCCTTGATACACTTCACTGATATGATGTACAGATTCTTCGCCCCAGTGTTGTCTGCACAGTTCACCGTCGCCGCCACCGGAAGACCCAACGACATCCTGAATTTGTTCCCCGCCGAACCACCGCGACCTGAAAATCCACACAAAAAACGAAGCAACACAAATTCAAACGATCAATCTGTTTGGTTACTGAGAAAATGTGAGAATCGAAAGTCCGACGTACCTCGCTTCGACATCTTGTGCTCTCTCTCTCTCTCTCTCTCTCTCTCTCCCTCCCTCCCCTCTCTCCCCAGAGCAAGAAGGCGTAGTAGCTGAGATGCAACGCTAGGGTTTTAATTTATATGGCTTGCACCTTTTCTGATCTGGGGTTTTTAAATTGAGGGGGTTAGTTTATCCAATATTGATCTCATTTCTCTATGCCAAACATGCATATAAGTTTATATAAACAAAACCTCAACATTTGTAAAATTACACAAAAGCCCAAACTTTCTCAAAATTACCTAACAACCCCCAACTCATCAAAATACCAAAATTCAATGACAAAACTCATGAGAAGGAGTAGGATATCCCTACTGCGAAGTTAGAGCTCAAACGGGGAAGTTGAAGAAAATCAAAATGCTCTAAACTCAAAGATCCACGAATCAAAATGGAGCCCTCGACGATCCATACACTTTTTACAAAGGCCGGAGGATAGTGAGACACTCTAACTAGACGAGGTGGGATATGCGACAGGAAGCAGTTGAAGAGGAATCTGGAATTGGAGGACACTGGAAGGCATACGGTTGATAAGGTAAGCAGCGGTAAGAACAGCATCACCCCAAAATGACTTAGGGACATTCATGGTAAACAAGAGAGAGCGAGCAACTTCAAGAAGATGACCATTCTTGCGTTCGGCAACCCCATTTTGCTGAGGAGTACCGACACAACTAGTCTGATAAAGGATGCCATGCTCCTCTAAATAAGCTCGAAAAACTCCATCAACATACTCAGCCCCATTATCACTACGAAGAATTTTGATTTGAGCATTAAAAAGATTGGTCACCATTTTATGAAAAGTTTGGAAACAAGAAAAAACTTCACTCTTAGTTCGAAGCAAGTAAATCCAAGTCGCACGAGAATAACAATCAATAAATGTAACAACCATCGATACCTAGAAGTAAAAACCACAAGGGAAGGGCCCCACACATCGATATGAATAAGAACAAAAGGAAAAGTACTTCTTTTATTAATTGAAGGGTAACAAGTACATTTATGCTTTGCAAGTTCACAAGCATCACAACCAAAAATACTCCTAGGACAATCACGAGCTAAAGAAGGAAAAAGTTTCTCTAAAACACTAAAAGAATGATGACCCAAACGGCGATACCACTGATGAAGGAGAGAAAGAGGAGAGCCAGTAGTGCACTTAAGAGCTTGAGATGGGACGACAAGAGAAACGACATCCAGAAAGTATAGCCCACCTTGTGCTCTACCATTGCCAATCATTTTTCCCATAGCCAGGTCCTGAAAGACACAATAAGTAGGAAAAAATGTCACTGAGAAATTTAGAGAAGTAGTAAGACTACTAATAGAAAACAAGTTAGTGGAAAAAGTAGGAACATTAAGCATAGATGAAAGAGAAAGCAAAGATGAACAATTAACTGAACCCTTGCCAGAGACAGAGAATAAAGTGTCATAAGCCACTCGAACCTTGTCTCGGCCGGAACAAGGAGAATAAGAATAAAAAAGACTAGAGGCACCTGTCATGTGGTCGGTGGCACCAGAATCAATAATCCAATAAGGCGATGAGAAGGTACTAAGAGCACTAGCAGGAATACCTATGTTGACAAAATTAGAATAAACGGAAGTGAAAGAAACTATGGTAGAAGAAGAGTCAAGTCGAGCCATTAACAAATGCTTGAGAGTGTGTAACTCATCTTGGGAAATAGTACTAGGCTTATAGGAAGTACTCACAACAATCTCAGGCACATGTGCTTGGGGACGAACTGTACAACCACGACCTCGACCCCGACCCCGAGTAGGGCAACCATTCACTTTCTAACAATGCTCTTGATCATGTCTGGCTTTCCCACAATAATCACACTTCAAGCGATCTCGATCAACCAGTGTACCTTGACTCCTAAACTGAATCAGACTAGGCCGAGGAGCTTGAGGAGGAGAAGCAATAACTAAAGCAAAATGATCCTGAATAGAGGAATGAACCATAGCACTACGGCGACTATCCTCTTGCTGGACAAGGGCATAAGCCTCGCGTAAGGTGGGAAAAGGTGAACGACCCAACACCTGGACGCGAATCTGATCATACTCCAAGTTCAAGCCAGCAAGGAAGTCATACACACGCTCTTTCTCAACGGTTTGTTGAAACAACGTAGCATCCCGAAAACAAACAGCTTGGAAGCTTTGGTAATAGTCTAGTTCCTACCACAAACTACTCAACTCAACATAGTATACTGCGAGTGATCTATCTTTCTGATCTAAGCTCCGAAGCTTCTTCCTTAACTCATATGCCTGTGCATCATTACCTTGTTGGGAATAAATTTGAGCTGCAGCTGTCCAAATCTTATGAGCAGTATCTAATAAAAGGAAACTCTGACTAATGGTGGGTTGTATAGAGTTGATTAGCCAAGTCATAACAAGAGCATTTTCAGAAATTCATTGAGTATGGAGGGAGTCATCACCATTCGGTAAGGGAAGAGAACCAGTAATGTAGCTAGTCAACCGATGAGCAGCAATAGCAAGACTACAGGAGCGTGACCAAATCAAATAGTTAGAACCATCCAATTTAACAGGACTAATTTGAAGAGAGGGACTATCAGTAAGAGTAATAACATGACGCATGCCACCCTCATCACTAATTGTATCCTTAGTCTCACTCTCAACCATTGAAGATTAAATCCCCACAATAGAAAAACAAATACAGCCCAAAACAGCAAAAAACAAATAGATGCACATCCACAAACTCAACTTAGGGACAAAAGTTACCGCTAGAGACAAAAACAAAGCTGAAACATGGGCTAAAGAGGCCAAAAACTAGCCAAAACTAAGGAAAAATCAACAAAAATAGAGTGAAACCTTACCAAATCATCAAACCCAAGTCTCCCAACCCTAGGACAGTCCCAGTCGGCTCCCATGGTAGAGGGAGGAAGGGAAAAATCAGCCAAAAACAAGGCCTAGCAGGGACTTCTGAAAAATCAATAAGTTTTTCCAAAAATTAACAAAAATTAGAAAAACACTCAAACACTCATCAAAAAATTAAAATAAAAATGTAGGGTGAAAACCCATCAAATTTCGACCATGAAGGGATTTTTTTTTTTTTTTTGTGTACCGGGAAGAATGAATGAAACTAGGAACAAAAGAAGAATCTTCAAGGAAGATGAAGCTCTGATATCATGTTAAATTTGCATAAAACAAATAAAAGAATGAGTGGAAGAAAAGAGAGAGTACTGTTGCTGTAGACGTCCCCGAACGTCCCGAGAGGGAATCCCGTTTTGTTCGTTTGGGCTTACTACAGTTCAGACTCAATTGTCACGGTCCTGTATCTAATCTCGCAGAGTGCAATGCAAGACCGATGAATCATCAAAGAGTCCAAATCCGGCAAATCATTTTGAAAAATTGATTTTTAGAAAGAAGTGCCAAACATGGACTGTTTTGCCAGATACAGAGTCGCCATGTAAATATTTTATTTTGGGGGAATTTAGGAAACCCTGACTCGTGCCTAAGGCTACGTGTTTGTCATCATCAAAGTTGCCTTGGCTCAGGAACTTGGGTACGATTGGGGAAGGTCACTTCGTGAGCACCTGTAGACGTCCCCGAACGCCCCGAGAGGGATGGCTCCCGTTCCGCTCGTATTGGGGTCACTACAGTTCGGACTCTCAAATTGTCACGGTTCTAAATCTGAACCAAAGAGTCCAAATCCGGCAAATCATTTTGAGAAAACAGATTTTGAAAGAGGTGCCAAACATGGACTGCTTTGCCAGATACAGAGTCGCCACCTAAATGTTTTATTTTGGAGAAATTTAGGAAACCCTGACTCGTTTGCCTAAGGCCACGTGCCCGTCATCATCAAAGTTGCCTCGGCTCGGGAACTTGGGTACGATTGGGGAAGGTCACTTCGTGAGTACCCCCGCTCGCCCGATCAAAGATCGGCCTCTACTAACCATGATATCTATTTTTAAAAACATTATGCGTCCTTATTCCAGTTATTAGCCTAGATTTACTATGTGATGCGCACAGCAAACAAGTATAGACTGGATCGCCTGAATTGGAACAAAACATTTCATGTTTGTTTGTTTGAAAATGGTTTGATGGTGCTACCCGCAGGTAGGCTAAGGCGTGGATTTGCCACCCTCGGGTGGGCTTAGAAAACATGATTTTGCCACTATCTAGTGGGCTTAAAACACACATTTGATGAATTGTTCCAATTCAAATAACACAACCTTCACCCACAGGCATTCAGGCAATTATATCACATAAGCATGTAGCCTCATGGTAAGTATGCTATTCATGGCAGTCACTCACACGCATGCAAGGATGCTAAAGCATAAAAACTTACCGAGTACTCCAAGCCAAAACAGAAGCTAATTAGAAATCCATGCATGATCCTAATTACACAGAAATGCCTAATGCAACACATGCAAAAATGCAACTAAGATAGGCTCGGCTATTCTAAACATGGCATATGAAATACTACAACTAACATGTATTCAACTTTGGAATTGAAATACAATGCAGTTAGTATGATGCGCCGAGCCCGGTGCATGCAAGACAGATGAAATGAATGCAAACATGCTATCATACTGTATGCTGATTGAAACATGCCCTAATCTAACCATCATAAGCGGGTAAATAAAATGGAGAAAGACGTGGGGTTGGAAGACATACATCACACACACGCACACTTATTACAGTTGTGCCTTCGCGTAGAGGGTCCGAATGAATAATATACAGTCCCAAATAATTACAGTCTAAATATGTACAAAACCCTAATTAATTAACAAAATAAATTAGGAAATCAATAAATTGGCATGCAAGCCAGGGACTGCCTCAAATCTGCTCCAGATGATGAATGATGTATGCTCGGGTTGCCTTGTGCGGAGAATCCCTCACAATGCCCCAGTTTGCCTCTGTTTGCAATTGTTCTTGGAATGCGTGCCAAGCTCTGGAAGGCTGCTGATTTCTGATTTGCTGCAACAGAGAGCAACAAAGGGGCATGGCAAAGTATTTTCACATATGTATGCATGACTACTCTTCAGGGAGTGTAGTCCTCGATCCTCGTGCCACCAATTACGCATATCGATGCATGATGGCCGAGGAGTCAAATTGCACGACTCAATATGGAATGAATGCAAATATAAACACAACAAGACCTAAACTCCATCATGG